TATATTGATATATAAAGATATGTGGTCTAACTAAACACTATAATCATTTTGTTCCTTTATCATAGGAAAATGACAGGATTAAAGCATTACAAGCTCCGTATTGGAGTCACGAAAAGATTCCTCCTATTTTTCTCGAGGTTGTTTGTAACATGAAGAAACTTCGGTGGATTTCTTGGGACCACCATTCATCAACTTCATTGCCCAGAGAATTTCAACCAATGGAGCTTTGTTGTCTACGATTGGAAGGGAGATTGTTAATGCAACTTTGGGAGGGTTATAAGGTAATTCTTATTGTTTCTCTAATTAAGGGATGATAATTAGTCATAAATCTAACTAATTTACAGAGTAATTAGTCATAAGTAGAAATATTGATATGATTGAATATCGGTGTCATTAGGCGACTCTAACTAATTACATGCTCCTTAGCATTTACAAGAGAAATACAATTAAGTAATCAACCATGGGAAAATTTTAATTTTGATCAAATCTGTATGACTAATTAAAGCACCTGATCATTAATGTATGTGTGATTTTAAGCATTAATTTTTTTTATATTAAAAAATGATTTTTATATTAATTTTACTGTGATTTTTATATTCAGCTGATTGTATATGTTATAAATATGAGTTTCTTCCAAATGTCTTGCAAAAGCTGAAGAGAACAAGGGTGTTGACCCTAATCCAATCCATGGCTCGTTTTAATTTTGTTTTGGAAAATATAATTAATTTGTGTTAGTTATCATATATACACTCTATATATGATATTAAAGAATGCATTGATATAATTGACTTGTGTGTTATTGTATACAACAGCATCTACCAAATTTGAAAGTGCTCGACCTCTCGTTTTCCACAAAGCTAGTCAGGACACCGGATTTTGATGGACTTCCATGTCTTGAAAGAATGATATTAAGGGGTTGTGAGAGTTTAAAAGAGATACATCCATCAATTGGATATCATGAAAGGTTTATTTTCTTGGACATGGAATACTGTACAAGCCTTGAACTGTTTCCACCCATCTTCCGAATGAAAAAGTTGGAGACTTTTCTATTAAATGGTTGCTCTCAATTTTTCAAGTTCCCAGAGATCCAAACTAGCATGGACAACTTGGTAAAGTTTAGTTTGAGAGAAACTGGGATAGAAATTGTACCCTCATCAATTGGACAATACTGTAACAACCTTGTTTCTCTTGATTTGGGGTGGTGTAGATGTCTACAGAGTATTGAGGGCAACTTCCGTCTCTTAAAACGTCTGCAATTGCTTTATCTCGACGGTTGTGATCAACTTAATAACATACCAACAGGAGGCCTCTTTGATGGAGAATGTTGTTTACATGTGCTTTCATTATCTTACCGAGGCAGCATGTCAAGCATAAAGCTTTTTTGCTTTTCAAGTTCCTTAAGAAAGTTGAATCTTAGAGATTGCAATTTGGTAGATGGAGACATCTCTTCTTTTTGCAAAGAGTTATCCAACCTACAAGTATTAGACCTAAGCAGTAATAAGTTTTCATGATTGCATTCCAGCCTCTCCCAACTTCCTCGTCTCAAATTCCTCAACTTGTCAGATTGCTGTGAGCTTTTAGAATTACCGGATCTCCCATCAAGCCTATCTATTCTCATAGCAGAGCTGTGTGACTGGCTTGATGTTGTAGGAGATTTTCAAACAAACCACCTTAAATGGCTGTGGAAGGTCTCACTTTCAACCCACAGGAGGTGGGATGATTGTGAGAGAATAGTACAATCCATGCTTCAGGTATGACTCTATATACCTTGATGAATTTCGATATTAATTTGTATATACAGACCCAAACCAAACCAAACCAAATAATTTTCATCATGACAGGGAAATGCCATTAAAGATTACTTCATCGATATCCATCTTGGTAATGATTACATTCCAATAAGAGGCTTTGCACGGGGAACATTTACATTACAACTTCCGTGGAATTGGTACAATGAATTTAGTGGATTCTTAGTATACGTTGATAAAGGTTTCTGGGGGAGTAAGGAAGTAATTATTATCAAGGATGTATTGGGTATGGCAAATGGAGATGGTGTTTTAGAGGTGTCTAATAAAACTGAGCATGATGAAGAGAGAACTATGACAGCGAAGGGCATTTGCTATATATCCTTTGGTTCATTGAGGAAGACCTCATGGTGGAATTCAACCCACACTACCCTTTCACTTTCTTTTCAAAGAAGACCCGTTGACTTAAAAGTTGAACTTGTCCCTAGGAGAAGTCACGGTGATGATGATTCAATAGAAAGGGCGAAAGATGCTTCAAATTTTTGGGATGAGGAATCTCCAAATGAAAAGACGTTTGAGATCATACGTGATTCAAAATCCTCTATTGAGATTCAATGGAGACGTTATCATCATTCAAAGCAGTTCAGATGATGTTCTTTTCATTGTCTGTGATATTTTTACAGAAATGGTTGTATTTTCTTCTTGTTTGTCAAGCCTTGTTAAATCTTTATATATTTTTTTTCCTTTCTCCATTATGTGAAGCTGAAACCTGTTGTTTTTTTCTCAACAAACTATGCATTGTTTTAACATTCATTTAATAAATAAAATAACACTTCAAAGCAAATGTTTTGTAAACCAAATAGGACATGCCACTCCAATATATGTTTTGTAAACCAAATGTGCAGATAGAAACAAATTGGCATTATATAAACACAGGTGGTAATATGTATTTATATGCTATTATGAAAAATATTAAATATTAAATTTTAGTTTAATACAATGATTCCTGTCAATGATATTGAATTATTATTTTATATGATTTTTCTTTTTTAAAATGTATTGTAAGGATATAATTACATAAAATTAATTGGAGTTGAATATAATTTTTTTAAAGATCAATATTTGGCTCATCATATTAAAGTAATTATAGATAATCAATGGCAACAAAGTTTGACCAGCTAGTAAGGGTGTTCAAAAAGCTGCAAAACTAATAAACCGTATTGAACTATTTGATACGAAACCAATAACCGGAAAATCCGGAAATCAAAAACCAGTTTGAATCCTACTTGAAAAGCTTCCTTGGTTTTTTAGGTACCGACCGATACCTGAACCAGTGCGGATACAATGTGTATATAGTATTTGATATTTAATTATATATATATATTTTTATTTATTTGCCTAAAGTTGAATGCGTATTCTTTTTTACGTTTTACAGTTAAACATTAGCTGGATGATTAAAATTTGGTGGTATGAAGTCATGGAAGAGTCGACAGTAACCGAAGAATGAAAGTTTTTAAACAATTGAACTAATTTTAATTTGTTATGTTTTAATTGTATTTATTTATTCGTTAAATAATTGCTTTAAATATTACAAGCATGCACCTCGGGATCACAGATCCATAGAAGATTATGAGATGCTTTCAAAAGATGTAGTCTCTTATG